GCACGTGTCCCTCGTAGGAGCTCGAATACACCAAGATGTCATCCATGTACACAATCACGCAGTAGTTGATGATGCTCTGCGCCAAGCAAGTCTTCCGCACGAAATTCTAAAAAGCCATGTTCATGGCCCGCTGAAAAGTCGCAGGGGCGTTGCAGATACCCATCGGGCATCGAATTCATTGCCACGTACCTTCGAAAAGCACAAACGCGGTTTTCAGACGATCTTCTTCTCAGACAAGAAGATGATGGAATCCATGGCGAACATCAAACTTGCTGAAAAATCGAGCACTCTCAGTCGCATCCAACAATTCATCAATCCGGGGGAGGGGGTACACATCTTTAATCGTGATATCATTCAATTTTCGATAATCAATACAAATACGAATCCCTCCGGCCTTTTTAGGTACGATTACTACGGAAAAAGACCACGGACCTATAGCAGGTTCGATCCATCCATTAGCTTCGAACTCCTTAATCCGCTGAAAAGCGACAACTCTTTGAGTTGGCGAGTATCGGTAGGGAGCGCAGCTAATGGGTGGATGATCTCCCGTGAGAATGGCATGCTCAATCACATTAGTTAAGCCGATGTCGTTATCGTGTATGCTCAATACTTCTTCGTAGTCATTTAACACACGAATTAACGATTTTCGAAGTTCCGCGGGGACGTGGCTTGGCAAGGTGATTGTAGATTCCCCGGAAATCTTAAGGGGCATATCAATCCAATCAACCGGTCGTTCCCGTCGATCATGGACACTAGAGAAAACGGAACTACTGGTGCGAACAGAGAAGACAGTTGCTATCATCTGGGACTCAGCAAGGCTGATCATCTCTGTTTCTTTAGTTTCAGCGTCAGTTTTTGAACCAACCGAGGTCGGTTCCACAGTTAGCCCTATTAGATCCGTCATTTCTTGCATCAGATTAGTTACATCATTTACCGGTGCTTCCGCCTCTTGTTTAATCAAGGCGATGGTGGCTCCTGTCGTTAGTAACGATCGGGGTGGAAAAACAGAAACGTCTACATACTGTTCTGTTTGTTGATAACGTGTTCGTAAGGAGAGAGCTCCCTCGTACAAGGTACGAGGTGGTTCCAAATCATCAGCCAGATCGGAAACTTGTAATATGGGTTCCCCGAGGAGAAGAAGGGCTGACCTGGGTTGTTAGAGGCGTGAATGCACTGTTTTCGGAATCCACGTGGAAGCTTCGGGCGGTGTCGGGGCACACCTGAAATTCTTCTGGGGTTTCATGTTCGGAAAGTTCAACTAAATGCTTCCATTCTTCTTCGCTAGGCATCTCTTCTTCATGTTCTTGTTCCCTGATTTCATCCCCGAGGCGCAAGGGAGAACATTCCTCGGGATCAATGTATCGGATCATCCCTATTTGGGTCGGGTTAGGGACCCGTTTCATCGTTCGGGTAGAAACTCGCAAAGGAACAGTTTGAGGTTTTCCTCTAGTTTGTGTAAGCATCAGTTGCTTCGAATCGAAATGCAGACGTGCACCTACCGTCATCGCCCAAGGTAATCCCAACAACACAGAATAGGAACGTACATCTATTACGAGCGCGTTCACAAGGACGTGTACTCGTCCAACTTTTACGGCCACATTCTCGATAGTGCTTACGATGTTCATTGCTTCCTCATCGGCAGAGACATAATTGTCTTTGCCAAATTGAGGAAGAATAGATCCCACTCGTTCCGTCTTTTTGACAGTATCCAATGATATGGCCACGGCAGAAGACCCTGTGTCAATAAGGGCATTAAACGGTTTGCCCCAAACTTCACAGTCACATTCCGCACTTTTTCACAATACCGGCCGAGCTCGTACGAAGTGATCTTTTTCTGCTAAAGAGATCGCTGCTATGCGTGCGGCTTCGGGTTTCGGCTCTTTCGTGTCAGGCTGAGGGGGTACAACTTCCTCGCTTTCTTCTTTCTTCTTCAACATCCGTTGTATGCGTTGATAGGTGAAACGCTTTTGATTTTTCTGGCAGTGTTGTAGAAGCTTATCATTCGCCACTTCAGATATGGTGAGCAGATGTCCCGCTGGGATGGGCACGCGAATATCTAGTTGCTTGAGCGTTTTTAGTACATCAATGTCTCCTGTCCGGAACTGTGGTCCAGGATTGGATTCGCGATCGACCCACTCGAGATCATCCGGGACCGATCGGATTGCTCCGATCATGCCTGCAAGATGAAGGTATTCGAGTGGATCGACTATGTCGACAACGTCAGAGGAGGAATCTCTTGATGTCGACGCTAGTGTCGTCGGACGGGGAAGGCTGCTCGGGGGCGTATGCCACGAGTTCTCTTCCTGGATCCGTATCCATCAGAGCGGCCACTCGTCCTTGATTAAGGGCGACGGGGGTCGCAGCAGGGGGAGGCTAATTACATTTCGGTTGCGGACAGTCTCGGGCAAAATGCTCGGGCTGTTTGTAGTTGAAACACTCGATCTTTCCTACCGGATTAGCTAGATGGGGATACTGAGGGGCGAATCCTGGAGCAGGCGGAGCAGGTAAGAGCGGAAACGATGCAGGGGCAGGTCGGGCAGGGGCCGGGCTAGGCTTAATGAGTCGGCTCATTATTTGTTCCATTCGTTCCATATGAGCGGCCTGCATTTGGATCAGGTTGCTCATCCATTCGGACTGCTTGGTAGTGGTCGTATGGATCATCTGGGCAAGGTGTAGATTGGTTACGGCCGACGAGGGGGGTTCGGATGAGATTCCACTTCTAACGGCTGCGATCGATTGATTCACCGGGGGAGCGGGACGAGAAACAGTCGGGATGTCGGAAACGATCCCACCGGGAAGGTCATGGTCGGGGCAGGGATAAAACGGTTCGATTGCCTGCAACCATGATCGCCTTTTGGTCGTTACATCCCGTATTGTATCTGTAATGTCTTCATCTCCCTAACTGATATATTTTTTTGTATCAGCCAGATCCAACTCCAATGCTTTAGTGATGATAGCCGATAACTGGTGCGTTTTCGGCGGAACCTTTTTCTGTAATTTCCCTTTCAGTGTCGAACTCCGTAGGTGGTCGATGAACAAATCTCGAGCGGATTTCTCATCCCGCCCGGATTTGTCCGACGTGGTTAGGAATCAATCGACAAAATCGGGCAACAATTCCCCTGGTCCTTGAGGTCGATTTTTTAGTACATACCAAGCGACATCTTCACTAACTGTATCGAATCGACCCAAAAAGGCTTGCTTGAAGGTAGCCCAATCTACCCACGCATGTTTCCTAAACCAGTCACGGGATGTATTGCGAAGTAGCAATGTCAGAACGCGGGGGAGGTCGGCTGCGCTGTAGTTCTGAGCTTCGACAACTTCTAGCCAACCCTCGGGATGAGTATGGTTAGGGAAGAAGGGGAAGGAGGCAGGGATACTAACGATCACCCTAGTACCGTCCACCATTGGTATTACTGGTGCAGCCGAACTTGACTGAGACGTGGTTACTGGGCGATCCCGACGAGTTAGTCAACAGAAAAATTTCCCAGAATTAAATATTCATTCTAAAGTAAAATTACTTTCTAAATTTTAAATTTTTATTCCATCTTAAAAAATGTCATTCCAATTTTAAAATTTTTCGTCTTACTTGAGAACTTTCCTTCTAAGAATGGGGTATCCCTTCTTATTTGAACTGCATGCTAGAGATGGAATGAAAGTCTGGATGAGTTCATGAAATATTTTAATTGGACTGTCATTCTAAGTAAGGATTTTCAGTCATAAATAGGTTAATCCAATCTAAATTAGAAGATATTTATTGTAGTAGAATGAAAGTTTAATTACAATATTTCATAAACTCATCCAGACTTTCATTCCATCTTGAACAAATAGATGTAGTTGGAAGGGAAAACTCATATTTAGACGGGAACTTATGAAATAAAACTGGAAATTTTATAATTGGACAAACATTGGAATGATAATTTATAAATATGAAGGATTTTGTTTTTATGGAATGTTTTTTCAACTTTCATTTATCGCGGGAATTTTTATGTTGGTTGAGGGTCTCTCTTACCTCTCGCCAGTTCGACTTACTATCATCACAACCGACACGTGTCGGCTCCGATACCAACCTCACGCCCTGTGCTGTCTTCCGTTCGGAGTGTTAGGCATGAGGAAAGAGGCCCAAAAAAACAGCAAGATGGGGTGTGCCAAGGATTTTTGGAAATTGAGTGTGGGGACACAGACGGAACTGAAATCCCCCCGTGTGGGTCCGATGAAGCAAGTCGATCGTTTTTCGC